TTTCCCTTGTCTTCTCCTTTGATTAATGACTATAAATTGATATTATGTTTTACTATGCACTGGTTTCTGACAAGTTGGTTTGTTTCTGTAATATCAGTTATGAAGATATTAGAAGGTGGATAGTTTATAATTCGTTGGAAAAAGTCATTAGTTTGAGTTGTTCACTAAAGTTTACTTTATTAACCCCTGTAGACTATAGTAAGGATTCTATATTCATATCTAGATATGTAGACATATATATATATATATATATTATAGAGATTACGTATGCATAACTACATGGAACATGTGCATAGATAAATACATGGATTGTCTAGAAATGGATTTCTTCTCAAAAAATAAAGAGATGAGTTCTTTGCTCTTCCGTTATCTGATTTTTTAATTCACAATATTTGAATTTAATAAAGGCGTGCAGTTTTCTTTATTTTACCTAGATTGGCTAATGAGATAGGCATATTGCAGTCTTTGCATTCTTGATGTATTAATGAACTTGATACTGCAACCTTCCTTCAACATTCTTATGTTTTAATTTTGGTTTGGTTTTTCAGTTATAAAATCAGAATGGATGGCTCTTTTGCTGGCGAGGTTCCTGCAATACTGCAACTCTGCAAATGGGTCCCATCTAAATTCCAGCTCAAATTGTCAGAATTTCGTGAAGCTTTCATTTCTCCAACAAGAGAGCAACTACTATTGCTCTCATATCAATGTGAAGCTTTGCTTCTTCCTCTGACTAAAGGTGAATATCTATTACATGACATGCTCTTCCACTATTTTGTTTTTACTTTCCACATGGTTGAAATTTGGTTTAGTTCACTGTGTGTATTTATCTTACCTTATGAGTCTCAATAATGATCCTATTTGCAGTTATTTTATCACTGTGTGTATTTATCTTACCTTATCTGTTTCAATAGTGATCCTATTTGCAGTTATTTTATCTTCTCCCTCAATGTGATCTTTCTCGTGTTTCTTTTATACAGATGACCCTGTTGACAATATGGTTCCAGAAATTTGTTATGTTGAAAGTTCTGAACATCTATGTTCCTCAGCTTCATTTTCACAAGTCTTGACAACACCTAGTAGGTCAGATTCAATGGACAGTATTCCGTGCCCTTCTGGATCAGTAATTGATTTTAGTAATGGTTTTTCTCTTGATAGTAAAGTTTCAAAAGCTAATAGTTACCCTTTTATTTCTGATGTAAACTCACTGGCTTGGGGTGTATGTGGAGATACCTATAATCAGCACGAGGATGCTTCGTTTAGGGAATTATTATTTGTGTCTGGCAACCATGGCGTCACAGTCCATGCCTTTTCTTCTCTTGATGAAACTAGTGAAAAAATGACCACACCTATGCCGGAGGTTGAGTTTAGGCAAGGGAGTTGGGTTGAGTGGGGACCTTCTACATCAGCTCGAACTGTAGAGGGAGAGGATTATATTAATTTGTGTCCTGATGCCTTTGGAAAT